TTTGTAACGATTTAACAGATTGACGTAAGTTTTTCATGCGTCTGTCCTGTTATTGATCATGAATTTCGTCATAACATTGTCAAAGTAGGTGTGGATCCGCAGACTACTTTGACAATGTTATGACGAAATTCATTGTCAATAACAGGACAGAGGCATTAAAAACTGACATCAACTTGTTTTGTACGACAACAAATTGTCGAATTGTCTGCTCTCACTCGTTGACGCATCGCATAAATTATAAATTCATGTCCACTTATTGACAATAAAAATTAGCCAATGAGCGCGCGAGAATTTGCAGTTATCGTAAAAAGTGAAATGGACAGAGTACAAGGCTATTTTTACAACAGACCGTGTAAACAAATATGAAAGAGATGTATGGCAGTTGGCATTACTAATAGTCGTTCCAGTAGTTATAATGGGAGCTGCTAGCGTTCCTTATGAACTTATATTAGTCGCAGACGTCAGTTTGAGCATTTTCCGGTTTGTCCGCTTAACACTTGTAGCATATTTATATGTCAAGGCTTATCTCGCCGTGCGAAAATGGAACCGAACGCGAATCCGCTCTTGAAGAGAATCATTGTGCTCCGGGTCAAAGAAAAGCCTGAAAGCAAGGTTGCTCACATGTCTTTCTGGCTAACGGTGTTCTTTGCAGTGTCGAGTTTTCCGACCCTTGTCGTTTATCTCTTTCGGGGAGTTCTGCCTTTTTGTCCTCCAGAGTTCCGATGGGCGGAAACAATATTTCAGTTAAACTCTTTGTTCAACCCACTATTGTACTGGTATAGAAACCGCCGCTTAAGGAAAGCTACATTGGAGCTGTTAAGGTGCAGAAACAGGCCAGCAGCTCACACTGCGCGTCACATCAGGCAACGTCGCTATTCTGTGGCATCACTAGATGTTGAAAAGCTTCAAGGCGAGTAAAGATGCCTCCGATTATTAAGGTCAGATTCTCTCGGTGCTATGCTGTGTTTAGACAACTTTCGGCAGAGGCGGAATGAAGCAGTGAAGGAATTCGAAAGACCCCTTCCGTGGAGGGTAGCAAGCGACAAGATATTCACACAACAGAGCAATAAACTAATTGTAACAGTTCAGATTGAAAATGCCCCAGGAAGGAGAGGCGTTCAGCACAAAACTGAATTACCGAAAAACACCACGGAGCTTGGAAGATATCGGCGTTGTATCGGTGGTAAAACTGAACGATCAAGTTCACTGAATGAAAACTCTTTCGTGCCACTAACTAAATGCCATCAAAATGCGACTCAGAGGAATGGCCAGACATCCAGATCAGTGTTAATAATATTAACAAACTTAAACGAACTGAACTGTTGATATGTTGACAGATCAGAAAGAACTTTCGCATAATCGTTACGAGGAAACGCAATTATAATCAACGAGACTAAGTGCATCATAAAATGTTGAATTTTTTTTAGAAACAATAAAATACAAATAGAATTGACAACTTAAAGTTATTATGTGTATTCTTTACCTTACCTTAGTAGACGTCTGCAGCATAGTGGGCTCGTTAAACTTCTAAAGTATAGTCTGTTTCTTCAGAGCAATACCTGGCGAGGGTAAAAGAAGAAACATTCGCGACTTGACTTATGCTCTGTTTGGTGGCAACGGTTGTAATTAACAGCGAGAGTGAACAATTTTCAAGGATAAGTATCAGGTACATAAATGAAGCCAGATTTCTAAATAAATATTTGGAGCAAAACAACTGATGGTAACTGTATTTTAACTACGAAAAATAAACTTGACAATAACTTGTTACAGTTTCTGGCCAATTTCAAAATCTCTCATACCTCATGCATGAGTTATTACAGTGCTATAAAGGGCGATTGTCAAATAGGAAATACTTTTCGATCGTGTTTCGATCGAATCGTATTTACATCCCTAAAGAAACACAGTCTAACTTCCACTAACGGCCTCCTCTTTACAACGGCCACTTTATTTTTGTCCCGGCTGACGACTCATACATTTTACTTTTACTTTAACTCCTGTACAAAGGCCGCCTCTCTCACGACCACTAGAATGCGTTCCAACTGCCGAAATGACGTCTCAATAACGGCCAGTTAATCAATGACTTACGAACGATGCATACAAAACCCCATGAATTTGTTATTGGAAAAGGTTTCGAAAATTGATCCATACCGCGCGTTGTTGGTCTCTGTTCCTGTTTGATTTCTGTTTAATCCATACGTTTTGATTGCATTGCTTAATTACATGCTACAATAAGCATTTTTTACACAAGAAAATGTTGCAACCCGCTACCATTATGTAACGAGGAAGAAGAAGAAGAGATTGGAAGAAGAATTTTCTTCTTCCACCCCCCGCCACCTCCGGTCACTTGTCATACAGCCTTACCTCTACTCCCTGGGACACTTTATCTTTCCCAAACCCCCCGATCCAAGATGGCGCTCATGCGCCTATATTGCACACGAGAGGCGCACTTAATTTTGCCAAAAATTCTAGCCCGAAATTTCGGTGCGGCGGTGAATGGTAAAGGCTTTCTTGGTTTGCCCTGCTAGAAGATTCCCGGAAAAAACGAAACTTTAAGAAAAGTAGTTCTCAGAAGTACCATTTTTCTTAAAATTGTCGGCAAAATAACCAAAAACAGCATCTTAACCGGCTTAGTCACTTACCAGGGAAATTAGCCAACCCTATACAACTGATCTCGTTCCAAAAACATCAGCATTGCGAAAGAAGTGTCCGGAATAACACGTGCTACATGTAAAATTATTTGCTGAAAGGAAGCGTGCAGACAGGATTTCTCTTGGGTTACAGATGAGAGAAAAACAAAGGAAAAGCATCATTGTTTAAAATTTATCCAAAAAAGAAAAGTAAAATATCTACACTTTTATGAAACCACCCGAAATTGCGGTCAGGCAGTTGAATCAATTAAAATCTGAGAACAAAATCAACAATATTTCTGCCACAACAGTGAAATCATTTATCCGGAAAAATAAAAACAACAACAACAAATGTGTCAATACAAACCTGTACGAGTCACCGTTTTTCACCCCACCAAGTGATTTTCATGTTATGTTGAATCTATGAAGTAACCTGATGGACACAAAAAAAGACACAAAACGGAAATTAACCAATATTGGAAACTTGTTTTCGAAGTAAGCTCTTACCAAAGACAGAAGAAACTCCTGAAGCGACCTCGATAATACGGACTTCAGTTTTATTTTCTTAAATGTTTTCCCCGCTGCAAACCAAGCGTTACTCGCCAAGAAGTATGTATAATACAAACGATTTTTTTTTGAATGAAAGATTTCAACACAAAGCGCTCACCTGAAAAAAAAAATTATAAGGTTTAAAAATTATAAATTATAGGGTTTTGAGGAGATGGAAAGGGCCGTAGAAAGGAAAAAATTTGGTCTATCGTTAAATAAAAAAAGCGGCCATAACAGGCAAAGAAGAGTTTAAAAAGCTATAAACCTGATCCTCCAAATTCACTCAAGGTCTCGAAACTTAGAAACAGTTTAGCATGTCACAAAGGTAAAAGGCGTAACATTCACGATAAAAAAGGAAAAATTAATATATCCATATTACGCCTGCCTGCGTACCGCTGGCTAAAATGACTCGTGAGGTACTTGGCGCGCGCTTTCCATTCAATCAAGTCACGTGCGTACAAGGGTAAATGGTCACGTTATTTTCAAGGAAAGTTTCCAGAAAAACCGAAAATTGTTGAATTCCCGAAATGAAAACCATCCAGTTGGAAAGTTAGGAAATTAAGGGAAGATTATTATATGCGACTGAAATTCCGGGTTAGAATTTTTTCGAAAACTCGGGCATGCCTCGCAAGGATGTCGTGTTCTACGGAAATTCAGGAAATGCTATTCCATTCACCCTCGGAATTTCAATAAATTCAGACCGGAATTCTTGTTAGAATGGATAACGACCATAATATCCTAATTAAGGTGTTTGTCGATGTGTAAGGTTTTTACTCTTTCCTTGGAAAAACAGAATCCGTAAAACATGACAACAAATTTTGAATTAGTTTCTTTAAATTTTCAAAGCTTATTACCATCTTCCGACAAGCGGAAGATGGTACTTGTATGGATAATGCAAAGAGCCGACATTACTTTCCTCTAGGTTAGCACAACTGAGGTAAACAGACTTTGAAGAACACAATGGAAAGGCAAGATGTATTTTCTGCATTGTTTGAGTCATAACAAAGGTATTTTAGTTTTAAATCAAAGTGTAACAAGGCTTAGAGCTTGAACAGAAAACACCAATTAGCTTCTGACCTTCACGTTTTCTCAATTTTATAAAGGCTTGTGTACAGAAACAATCGTTCTTTATTTGAAATTTTTTATTCATGCTCCCGCAAAGTTCAAGACCGAATACGGCCCTAGTTCTTAAGCCGAAGCCTCTTGGCCGTACTCAAGACCGAGGGCAGAATTTTTCCCTATATGGACCGCTCTAGACCGGCAAATAACGTCTTTATTTTCTTTTCTTCCTTCATTTTTCGAACAAACCCGCTTTGGTTGGAAGATTGTCAGTTTTACAAAATCCGTTTGACACCGCTTTTGTGGCGTTGTTCATATATATATTCTTTTCTGATCTTAGAAATAACAAAAGGAAATTGAAAAGCATTTTACAAGGCACAATATTTCCTGAGTTTCTACAATTCTATTATAAAACGTAACTGCAATTTTCACCATTAACGGCTATATCCAATTTTTACTTAATGTAAGTGGCGGAACCGCAACTTACCGACTTAATTTTATAACAAAAAAATTATTATTTTTTTTTAAACTTACTGATTTATTTTAGTTTGTTTTTATCAACATGACAGATTGGAATCGATAATATTAACACTTCTAAAATGAAACGTGAGAGACATTTGGTTCAGGCAAAACAAAAACGAAAAACAAGCAATTTAATATGAATCGAATAGTCTAAACTTTAAAATCCGGAAGTTTAGAAGTGAAAAGATCGAAAGTGAAACAGCAGAGTTAAATGACAGTTTCACTATCTGTTATCAAAGTTGCCGACAGCTTAAGTAATCGTTGACGTCAATACTGTCACCGGAATATTTTATTTTTATTTTCACCAAATTCATTAGCTGCTGCACGGCAATTCGGATATCTTCAAGTTTAGCGCTTATTTTGACAAATCTCTGCCAAATGTGTTTTGTCGCTGACAACGAATTTATGTTCGATTCAATTTGCCATGTTTCATCCACCGTGGAAGTTGCTACCGTTTTTAACAGTAGGGAGCTTAATTAAGCAGTGGCCGGCGACAGTTTAGCCGAGGACAACTTCCAATATAGTAATTGTCTAGGCTACGTTCACCTAGCAGCCTGAAAACTTGCTCAGACAAAATATGAAATGTCAGCGTTCAATTCCAAAGCAAAATACTTCGTCATTTTGCGTTGTTGTCTTGCAGATAACGCCTTAGAAATATACAAAGATTCATAACGCACGAGCATAGCCATTGTCCTGCTCATTAGACACCCCCAAAAGCCTTGGCACCTTCCTGTCAATAACATACTTCAGCGAGATATTAGTTAGTCCTATTAATACACTTTTTGCTACTCTTTTCTATACTTCAACTCGTGAAAACTCTATTCTTTATATACCTCCAGCCTGAAAAAGGAGTCTTGCGAGCGGAGCCTTACTCCGTATAATCCATTATCCCCCTAGGGCAATTTTGCTAGGAGGAATTTGCATTGCACTTCGTTGTTAAGATGAGTGGCACGACAAAACAGATGTTCGCAGCATGAGGAACAAAATTACTCACCACAAGAAAAACTACGCCGTGAAACAGGTCAAAAGATCTAAAATTAAAAGCAGCAACACTTCAGCATATTCCTGTAAGATTTCATGGAATTTAAGGATAGCAATCAGGAATTCTTAATAACGGTAAGTTTAAAAGGCTTTAATGAAAGTGTCGACGAAACACTGTTTGTGTTATGTTTTCATTGCTGAGAAAAGATAGGGATCAATGGAACACCGGCGAATGAAAGCTGCAAAGATCTTTCACTGCATAAAATTCTCGTGTCGCCAAATGAATCATCCCTTTTGCTGTGGCTGTTTAGAAAATACTCTGCACTCATTTTGCATAGAAACAAGGTTTTCATGTTGTTGGAACCGAAATAGAAGAAAGCATAGCCACACAAAATCCTCCATAAGCAAAAGAACTGGCATTATTGTTTCAAGATTCTCGCAACCCATGTCTATGAATTTCAGAAGAGATAGACAATGGATGTTATGTTTGTGGTATTAAACAATTCAGTCTTGTAAGGAAAAATGTGCAACCTTTTAGCTCCTTGATACATACATACATTTACATACATACATTTTATTTTTGTTTTCAAATTTGTGTCTAATATTGTTTTTTTTCTCAACTTTTAAAACAACTTTGCTAAAGGATCCAGGTACTACGTAATTGTAAAACTAATGCGTTACCCTCATAAGGTATGTATCATCTTCGTATTCTTGGCATGGATATGTCGAAAACGTTTTGAAATTTGGGAAATGTTGACGGAAAAAATGCTTTATTACACCTAGTACATCTTTTCACATGCCAGGAAGATGAAAGAAATCTTGAACGTTTTGCCGCTTATAAAGATGGCTACAAATAGTATTCTAACCGCGAGATAAGGGTGCAGATTTTTAAAAGAAAATAATTCCGAAAACCCGGGAAGCTTAAAATTAATTTTTATATTCAAGTACCATGACGTTAAGCAGATCCTTCTTCGTTTTAAGAATTTTCATTTTAGTGTCCGACAAGTGCCTGACAGTAACACCGAGTGTATTTTTTCATCTGTTGTCTTGTTTTTCGTCGTCCTCATTAAATTATATGTAGCTTTCGTATTCATAGATTTATTCGTATGATGGCTGCTGTCAAGATAGCAAGCAAATTAAGCATAACAATGATTTTTCATTTTCCCCTAAATTATATATTGGTCGTAAATCTGTAAATTGTCGATGCATTTCAGGTGGTCAGCTTTGAAAAAATATCAGGATGTAAAATTCATTTTGAAACAACGATTACGATTAAACATCGATCGTTGATAGACACATATTTCGTAGTATTTAATTTTGAACATGGCTTTCTTAGCCGTGGAATATCCGCAACGTTTGCTTTTGAAGAAAACTGCTATTAACAATATTAAAAATTACAGATTTCAGGGTCAGTATATCCCACATGACCAACACGCTTCCGTGTCGATTTACGGACAGTGTTTAAAACGAAACTCCAGCAAGGTGTTTATTTACATTTCTACGTTATTGAAATGTACAGAACTTATCGATATTGGTAGATTCTTATTTTTTCGCAGAAAATCTCACTCTTAGTTTTACTGGAAGTTTGTTATGAGGTGATGAGAACGCTGGTGGGGCTATTATTTCACACATGTTGTACATTGTTACCTATTGTTACCTACCTGAACATCCCATTACTGCAGACACGTTTTACTTATTAAAGCGCAGTTTTAACTCGTTCGGAACTTGTTTGGTAACCTTTATATTACAAAGGCAGTTTCATTTGCTGTGTGTTTATGTTTCGCAATATTATCTTCTACAATCATCCGACTTAAAAATTTCTACAACATTGAAAGGAACATAGCTTATTGATATTGTTTATTTCCCCTAACAAAATAGAACCGAATGAGTTCGATTGGTTCGACTGAGTCGCTTGCGCTCCATCCCTATAAATGGCCGCTTGGATGCGTTCGAACCTTCGATCGGATCGTGTAAAGTATCCGTAACTGAAATACGACGTCTACGAGTTTCCGCCTTCTTGAGCGCCATCTTCGCACGCATTGCAAAAAAGAGCACGATCTCTTTCTTTTCTTCTAACAATTTCCCAAGGCAAAACCCTAGACTATTCACTGAGCAAACACTTCACGCTTGTGTCAGTCACTTTAGTCGCTTTTATTGTAGTTTAATTCATGTGACAACCAAAAGACAGCCTGATGACAGCTGTGATCTAGAAATAATTACTAGACAGAATCGTATTTCCTCATAACTTGTTTAAAATCAATATTTTGCCATGGAATCTTTTCTAAATAAAATTAAAGGTCTAAGAGATCTAAATGAAAATACACAAACATATTTGTTATTGTAGTCAAGCGTCCAACACGCTACATGTGCTTTAATAATCGATGCAAGAAATGTACAATTCAAACGATAGAGTACGGTGATAAACGATAAAAGCGAAGAAAGCGATAAAAAGCGTGCGTTTGGTACAAACAAAATAAATTACAAGTTATGAAGAACGAATACAATATTGAAAAGAAACAGAAATAACGAGCCAAAGGTAGACGATATTTACAAACGTTGTATGACTAAGACTGCTATAAAGGAAACTGGGACAAGATGACTGTAACGTCGCGATGGAAATGCACAAATAGACCAGAAAAACTCATACGAAAAGGGACTGAAACAGAACGAAATTATGCGAAAAAACCTAACAGAATATTGATTGCGTGAAAACGAGGTAATCAAAAAGAATGCCAGGATGACGGAAAGAATGCGCATACAAACGAAAAAAAATAACAAAAGAATTAAATGTGGCCATGCGACGGCAACATTTGTCCTTACAACAATTATCAATTTTGGAGTATACTAATGAATCATTAAAATACTAAAAGGAAGCAAAAAATCTTATCACCAGGGTTTAATACTGATGAAACCTTATCATTATTTCTTTTTTCCTTTTTGGTTGATTTAAATATCGTTTTATCTTCAGAAATATCTTAATCCGTTAAGTGATTGTTTTTTTCACGACAGCTGTAAAATTTATTGCACGCTCATTGGCTAATTCTTATCGTCAATAAGAGTACTTAATATATCTCTCATTCTCGTCCCTAGAGGCTGCGCTCCTTTTGGTCAGCACCAAGAAACGCGACCTCTGGGAAGGTCCAACACCAGAAGTCCGCAATTCATGGACTTCCCGTCACTTTGCGCATGCTCAAAGTCAACTCTGACAAATTTGATTGGCTGAGAATACGAAACGATTACTCTGCGCATGCTCAGAAAATTGCACCTTCCCAGAGGTCGCGATTCTTGGTGCTGACCAAAGGGAGCGCTTCCTCTGGGGACGAGATGTATATCTCTCAGTTACTACGCGCGCTGTGACTGGTCAATTTAGCGGACCCTACTCTACTATACGGCCCGCTAAAATTTAAAGCTGTTTTTGTTGCCAAAATGTTTCGTGGTTTATCACCAAGAGCTCTTAAATTTTGTAGCAAGTAAAAGTTTAAAACTTTCTTAAACGTTAAATTGTATATTAAATGTGCTAACGACTTAATGATTTCAAATTGACTCGTTTTGCTTTCGATGTGCATCAGAAATTTGAAGCCGTTCCGTGTAAAAAGAAATCGTTCCCGAATCCGTCAGACACATAGAAGAGATATATTACTAACCTTGTCTTTTCGGCCCGTACTGTAAGTTACGGATCCTTGTTTTTTCCCCGTCGTTTTATGGCCCGCGCGCTTCACGCTTGGGCCATAAATCGAAAGGGAAAAAACTCGGTCCGTAACTTACAGTACGGACCGTCGAACTCGGTTAATAATGTTAGTAAGAGGTAAAGAAGTTTGGAAGACGCCATCACGTGCGGTTCTTGAAAATTTTGCCAAACTTCTAACGCTGTGTTTAGTGTTGTCAGTACCCGATATAAAAGAAAAATTGTAACTAAATTATCAAAATCGTTTAAGATGACTTTTAATGCAGAATTGATGCAACTGTAACGTGGAACTCGTATTTTCTCATGTTCAAAGTACTGGTTTGGTTCGAGTGGACTGAACTCGGTAATAGTTCAGCCCGTTGCCAAAGATTTCCAAATAGAATAAAAGTTAGTTATAGTTAATTCTGTCTTTTAACTTGAGCTACTGGACGCAGTTTGAAGCTTATATCGTTGTGCGTTTCGAAATTTCATACATGCTTCTTCGCCCTGGAACAGGTATAAATTTCCCAACAACTTGACAATCGTTTTAGAAAGGACAATCGGTTGTTTACTTAGTGGCCTTAATGATCCCTGATGAATTCTCACAAATTTGCTCTTTCTGTGCCCCAGAATCTAAGAAACTGTGCATGTTTCGGATAAGCTATAAACAAAAAACGATTCTTTATACGACCTCGATTTTTCGTCATTCCAAATACTATGCAGACTGCTATAGATGAATATTCATTTTGGTGATGGTCACACATCTCGTTTATTTATTTTGATTCCATTGTTGCATAATAAATGTATAAAATTTTAAGCCTGACTGGAAAATGCTTCGATACCAGCGCCTTGAAAAGAAATAACCCCTGTACACACTGATGCTGTACTGGCCAAGATCCGACAGGACAAAAAAATTGCCAGGAATAAAAGAAACATATAGGAATGTCGCAGGGGAAAAGAAGCTGAAAGGAAACACTTATGTGCGTGTAGTTCGTTTGACATTTTCTTCCTTTGGAGACCGGTTTATAGGGTTCGATGAACTTCAAACGTTCCGACAATCTCTTTTCGAAGCCAATTAACCATCGTGGTATGGCTAAATTCAAATCAGTAATTTTTATTTAAGAAAAGGCAAAAAGCCCCTTAGGGTCTTTTTTGACTAGACTAATATTATTATCTGTTGCTAGTATGGAAATTTGTTCAAGTTGTTGACTTTTGGTAGAAGGACCTATTGAATTTCACTACATGTTTTATTTCTTTCAACGATGACTCTATACTACTGAAAGATACAATTCAAGAATTATGTAGATGTTTACAATCCTGCAAACCAAGTTTCTGTTTCACATTTTTCCTATAGGCTAGCTTTACTAACGAACAGTAGAAGATCTCAGCAAATGGAAGGAATTAACAAGGGAGTCGAATTCTTGCGCATGTGCTGGCGATATGACTACACTACATCCGCTGGCCGTCGAGTGCAGTCCCTGAAAATCATTTGCGTGGCAATGATAGCCGTGGTCGGGCTATTGATTTTCGTTGTCGAAGATGTCCAAAAGGCGAAGGAAAATATCGTTAGAGCCAACAACTTGGAGACTGAACTCAGAGCAAGTCTTCTAGTGGCATCGTTGATCCATCACCTGCAAATTGAGCGAGGCCTTACGGTGCTATGTTTGGGCTCCAAAGGAAAAGAAGACGAAGAAAATGTTTGTGAAAAATTGAAAAATGCTCGTCTGGCAACTGACAAAGCTCTGTGGGAAACGGAGTGGCCTTTTGATACAGAAATTCGAAAGGAATTTCTTCTTAGCCCTGAACGTCTTCAGACCCATTTGAACAACCACAGGGATAAAGTTGGAGAAAAATGTAAAAGCGGCACGCCCGAGGAACAAATTTCTTTTTACACTTTACCAATCGACTTGATGCTGGATTGGTTTTTCGAAGCGACTAAGAGCGATTCGATGGATATTTATGTGGACTTAGTTGGTTACTACATGTTCCTCGCCGGTAAAGATAAAATCGGAATAGAGCGAGCGCTGGGAGGGTCTTTCTTCGCAAAAGGACATTTTAACAGCACGAGCCACCTAGTGTGGTTTGGTAATCAGAGCGCTCTGGGAAAAGAGTTCTTAGAGTCAAGTGGAAAACTAATGCCTGTGATCAAGGAAAGCTTAAAGGAAGAACTTAACACAACGGTGCAGCAAACGATCGAGAAAAAGCGAGAAGTAATTTTCGCAAACGAACCTGGCGAGGCATCGGTAACAAACGGAGAGAAATGGTTTGACATCATGACCATATATCTTGACAACCTGTTTGATGTTCAAAAAAATGCAGGAAAATTCCTTCGAGTTCAGCTGGAAAACCAAAAGGATAAGAACAAATCAGATTTAGCCAAAAGCCTGGCATTTCTTATGTTCACTCTCCTTTTGGTGCCCTTCCTTGTTATTTCCGTTTATCGCATGACGGGTACAATACAAAACTACGCTTTCAGGCTCGGAAAGACTACTTTAGAATTGCAAGAAGAGAAAAGGCGAGCCGACACCCTGCTTTACCAAATGTTCCCTCATTCAGTTGCCGAGATGCTGAAGAAAAAGCAGCAGGTTCCAGCTGAGTATTTCACGAGTGTCACGATTTTTTTCAGCGACATCGTAAACTTCACAGAGATGTGTAGTGTGATGACACCTTTACAGGTGAGGACGAGTATATTTTTATTTCTATATGAAAAAAGGCCATATATGAGCCAAGTGGCTCACCAGGCCGAGGCTTTTCCCAGTTTCTGTAGCATGAAGCGACTATGTATTTCTACTCCCCCCTGGATGGGATGCTAGTCAATAGCAGGGTTAACCCCAGCATTTAATTTGCCGGTACTCATTTATACACCTGGGTGGAGAGACGCACTGTGTTGCCCAAGAACACAAAAAGATGTCCCTGGCCCGGGCTCAAACGCGGACCGCTCGACCCGGAGACGAGTGCACTAACCATGAGGCAACTGAACCTCCTTATTTGTATACCTAAAGATAGCTTTTTGGTGCCCGCCTCTGCGGTTCATCGGTCTATAAATATACAAAAAGGCAGGTATTGGGCATTACAACTGATTGTCTAATTACGGATTTGGGTGCGGTCAGACGTATAACGTTTATGCCCAAGAGGTTACGTCGTAGGGTTAAATAATGCATTTCCAAATACCAAGCTACCTGAGATATCATCAGATGGACAGAAACCGAGAGATCCTAAAGCTGTGTTGTCTTGAACAAACTATCTAAATTTATCTGTGTTCATCTAAACTCAAGAAAGTATTTCATTGGCTTGTCATTCTTTGATAACAAAACATCGCCGCAGTATTGTGTTTGTTTAGGTGACAGCCATGTTGGACGCGGTGTATGGTACGTTTGATGAACTGATCAACCGGTATGATGTGTACAAAGTGGAGACGATTGGTGATGCATACATGGTGGTATCAGGTCTTCCTGAAAGGAATGGAACCAAGCACGCTGATCAAATAGCTCGCATGGCGCTTGACTTGCTTAAAGCGGTGGATGAACTGAAACTGCCTCAGTTTTACACGGGACAGTTATCAGTCCGGATCGGTATAAATACCGGTAAGTCATGGCCTAAGGTATGGCAAGTATTGTTAATATATGCCAGTGAGAGGACGCATCTTTCATTTGCATTACATCTTGTCACGTTTCATAGTATACTTTCCTTTCAAACCAGTTGTTTGTTCCTTGGAGGTCCGCAAATCTATGTTGCAACATTGGATTTTTGATTGACGATTTGCAGTGTAAAAAGAAAAAAAAAAATTAATTAAAAAAATTTAAAAGATGTATTTCTGCTGTAGATCTGGTTGCAAAGTAACTTTTATTTTTCTTTGGTTTGGTCTTGTTGAATTCATTTTAGGACCATGTGTTGCTGGTGTAGTTGGCAACAAAATGCCGCGATATTGTTTGTTTGGAGATACAGTTAACACTGCATCAAGGATGCAAACATCTGGTGAACGTAAGTAACTGACTTTAAATAGAGAAAACTAAAACAACTTAAGGAGGTCAAAAGTTCTACGATGTTTGTCGTTATTGTTCATCTCTTTAAGTAGCTTAGTTGAGTCCAAGAATTCTAATTCTCCCAGTTTCGAAATGCGGGTTAGAGGGAAATGTCGAGGCAGGACATTACATTGGGAGCAATACAACTGCGATGGTCTCATCTTCATTTCATTTGTATTTCCGCAGTTCACAATGTTCATTCCATGTTTTATTCTTTTCACGGGTTAACGCAGAGGCTACAGAGGCTATGGGTTCGAATCAAGTTGAAGCTCCAAATGTTTTTTCGGGGGCTTTATAATTCGGGGCTTTATAATTCTTTAAATTGCAATACAAATGGTACGGTTATATTTTCATTTCAAGACGTTAAATCATATCGGAACGTGCTTTTTCCCCTTTGCTGTTGATTTACGAGTGCGATTTGAGAGAAGACGTTATGTATGAATTATTTAGAATCATAAACCTTAGTTTCGTTTTCCTTCAGCTCAGAAAATCCAAATTACTGAATGTACTAAAGCCATTTTGGATGAGATTGGGGGCTACGAAACCGACTTCAGGGGATATTTGGACGTGAAGGTAAGTTTTTCTGACTCATTTCTTTGTTAGCAAGCAGACCGTTAAACAGATTTCTTTTTTGTATATGACATGTTCAAAAACAAAATAGAACAAAGGAACTGCAATTGAATACAACGACACGGACAACAAGTTACGTATGCACTGGATACGGGTAATTAATTCCCTGTAAATTGATTTCATATAAAAAATAGGAAACCTTGAGGTTTGATATCTTCAAGAAATGTTCGTTTTGTTCACAGAGTAAGAGTAATTCTCGAACTGAAAGGACTCGTAATTCGTCTTTAATTTAGAAATCTGTTGAGCAAGGCTCCTGGCTTGTGCCACATCACAGAGCCAGGGAAAGATTCGAGTCCATTGCACATGTTGGGGTCTTCTGTGTCCCACATCAAGGAGGAGAGATTAGAAATTAAGGTAAATACCGTGCATAGGAAAAGGAAAAATATAATATCAACTAGAACCTCTAATCATCCAAAGCTGGGAATGATTGCTCACCCATTGCTAAAGACAACGAGCAATTAGCTCAGTTAAGGTTAAAGAAATTTTGTGTTTCCGTTCATTTGAAGTAGTTTTATTTCTGAAATATTTCCTTTTACAGGGCAAAGGCAGAATGCTTGCGTACTGGCTGACGGGATTTATGGAACCTTTGACTGGAAATAAAGAGCATTCCGTAATACAGACGATGTGAAACCCGCCTTAAGTTTTAAGTTTTCTCATCTCATGACTCGTGTGCCTTGCTTAAGAGTTACATTGTTGGTTTGATAAACATGTTAGCATGGGGTCCACTGCAGGGGCCCGGTACAAATAATCCTTAGGGGTGGTAGTTGTAAGTCAATTATGCAGAAACAAAAATAGCATGCCCTTCCCAGTTAAGTATTTCTTTTACTTAGTACTCAGTGCCGACCGCGCTTTTGTTTTCTATTTTGTGTTTCACGCATTAACGGCGCCAATTCAAAATGTTACTCTATTTTGTGGAGCTACTTATTCCGTAAAGAAACAAGGCGTGTGCAGCTTCATTTTGAAGAAAAGTTGATACATTCTTGCAATTAAAGGACGACTAAGTCGTTCTTGGGCTGAAATTCGATCAATTTGCAAGGCGAGTCGAATGTTGGGGGATTACCGTAAACCCCAGTGGATAAGCCGCACTCCCAGATAAGCCGCACCCCGAGTTTGGCAACTCAAATCGCGGAAAAAAAGTTTTTGGAAAAAAATCAAAATAATTGACAAGTGAAATTTTGTACATTTACATGTACATTTCTTGATTTATTGAATGTAAAACCGCGTAAACCAGCGTAAACTTACAAAAATGGAAAGCAGAGAAGACTTTAAACTGAAACCCTTACCAACAATTTTAGTTCTACAATAGTAGGCTGTTCACAGCCTCTCTATTTACGCACC